AATATATGTAATTATAAAACATTCTCACCCACCCAACAATGGGCAGAATTCCCCTGATGCTATTTCTTCATGGGGAATCTCAATTTGTGATTATTCCTTGCCCCAAAATAATCTGTATTTCATATCCTTAGCTCTCTTATTTACGTCACAAATTTCATGATTGCTTATGGTTACGTTGGTATAAACACTACTTCAATTGCTGTGGCATTACGATAAATGTTTGAATATATGATAATTAAAGGATTCAATTGCTTTATGTATTGTGCACATTTTAATGTTTCTGGAATCAGGATGTAATAATGTTAATGTTGAAAGGAATAGCAACATTATATTTTTACAATCCCCCGCCCCCCCAAAAAAATGATTTCCAAATAGCGAGTTTTGCAACTGAAATCAAGTTCATGAGGTATTTATCCTTCTATATTATCCTTCTTATGTTCATAAGCAGACTACACATGAACTTCTTGGATCCTTTTTAAGTTGGCCTAAAATGTCACACTTGACTAAGAACTTTTGAAAATGTGTAACATGTTATATCTGTTCTATAATTTCAACAGATATGAAAGCTACTTTACTCTATTTCTTTCTTTTCCACCTTTGGGTTCTGTTCTATGTGGATGTGACCAGAAATGGCCATCACTAATTCTTAAAAGCAGAACTTACAAACTTTCAAATGATTTTCTAAAACATTTAAAATCTTGTAGCATATTGCCTTTGGCTTAATTTTTAAATTGTTATTATGAAGGTATATATATATGGAGGGGTTAAGTTACATAAGACTACATTTCTTTTTGGATAATTCACCTCTTCTCTTGCTCTCTCCAAGTCCTTTCCCTCTCCCCCCCACCTCTACTTCCAAGTTGTATAGTTCATTTTCAACATAATGTTCTCCCTTTGGCTAAAATTTGCTACAGTGAATTGTGTTCTGGAAGCTACTGGAGTACACTTAATAAAGACATCAGGCACAAATCCTTCCCATGCATAGCATTAATATAAAGAAAGCCCAAGGAGGAAGGCACATCGATTTGGAATTTCTCAGTACAATTGTAATATTTGGAAACTTGTGTTAATTTAATCCATATGTAATTTCAAAGCAGCCTCTGGTGTGCTCTCATATTTAAAGGAAGGACTCAAAGAAATATGCCAAAATAAGTCAAGGCTCTAATAACTTCATCTTTAGGAATTGAAGTAGCAGAGATCAGAAAAAATAATTTTCATCTTTATAGCCACTCCTCTGTAGGCTTCTCCTGAGTCAGATACATTTATTAGATACTCAGGTTGGGTTCTTTTATATTCTTTTTAAAAATAATTGCAGCTGGGCACTGGTGGCTCATGCCTGTCATCCTAGCTACTTAGAAGGCTGAGATCTGAGGATGGCAGTTCAAAGCCAGCACAGGCAGAAAAGTTCATGAGATTCTTATCTCCAACTAACCACCAAAAAACTAGAAATGAAGCTGTTGCTCAAAGTTGTAGAGCTCCTTACTAACGTAATAAATTTAAAAACTGCAAAACCTGTACACATTACTTTTTTTTTTTTTTTTTGGTACTAGTCCTGGGCCTTGAACTCAGTGCCTAGGATCTATCACTGAACTTTTTTTGCTCTAGACTAGCTTCTGGCTTTTTGGTGGTTAATTGGAGATGGAAGACTGCCTGGTTGGCTTTGAACTGTGATCCTCAGATCTCAGCCTCCTGAATAGCTAGAATTATAGGTGTGAGCCACCAGCGCTTGGCTGTACTTTTTAAAAATCTGTTTTCTGTATTGGAAATAACAGAGAAGTCATTCTCAAACTAAGAGCAATTTCTGGACTATTAAATAAAGATTAGAAGCTGTTCTTCCAAGTTTCCCTATTAGCAATAAAACAACCAAAACAAAACCAAACCCTATGTAAACTGAAAAGATTCATCACTATCCATGTCCCTGAATCTTGCAGAATCTGAACCAAGGGCAAACTTTTGACCAAACATATGTGAAAAAATTTGTCTTCCCAAGACAGGAACTGGTTATTTTTTTTTCCTTACTAAACTTCATTTTTCCATGATGTATACCAAGTAGTCCATCATCAACAAACCCAGTAATAGAATCACACACTATTTTAAATCCATAAACATGAGACTCTGGCTTTAGAAGTAAAACCTTCATGGAAATGACACTGGATGAACTGTTACTTGTGACCCCAGTGACCTGCTTGTTTGTACCAGGTATTTGCATCAGTATGGCTGTTTAAGGCTACACATTTTTAATAAAGGAACAGCAGAGTATCTAGAGACATGAGAGTTGACCTAGATTTGCCTTTATGGTCTCCAAGAATGAGTCTGTTGACACAGAGAGATGTAAAAGTGCAAAGGTTTATTGAAGAAAAAGAACGCCTGCTAGATTGGAGGGCCCAAGCAAGGGCACCACCTGGGGTGTGGTGTGCAGGAGAAAGCCACGTGACCTCAAGATCATTTGCAGCCTGCGACCAGAGCAGCCATCAGTCCCAACGAGACTCTACGAGTTCTCCATGTGTTCTTTAGCCCCTCTGACTGGGTGCTTGACCTGGTGCTCATCTCCGGGGTTCAATTAGTACATTGCTCACCTGCAAGTCTTCCAGGGACTATAGGCCATGAGGTGATGCCTAGTGTCCTGCATGTGTGACTCAGGGCCATGGTGATGGGGCCTGCACACAGGACTGCTCAGGGCCACGGTGTGAGATGTCCAGGGGTCTGCACTCAGGACTGCTCAGGGCCATGGTGTGAGATGTCCAGGGGTCTGGGCACAGGCCTGTTCATGGTGAAGGATGCAGAAACTGTATGGGAGGGGGTTTTGCTCTGACTCCCATATCCGGCTCCTTCTCTGCTGTTAAGACTAAAGATGTAGTACACAGTTATGTCAAATCTTAACTTCCCAGTTAAGAATTTTTTTCTATAGTGCAGAAATACACTACAAACCTGGATTTAAAGTCTCCCCTGTGAAGAGACAGCTGTTGCTGATATACCAACTTTCATCAACAGATTCTAAAGTCTGATTTCTTGTTTGCCTTCTTGATTTATTCCACTGAATTGCAGATTCCCTATTTTCCAGACACTGTGTAGATACTGTACATTGCATTCATAAATTGAGCCAAATGATTATGATGTTGATTTAAGGCTTATGCTTAATACACATAGCCATACAAAAAGCATGGATCACATTCTACTCAACACCTGTGTTCCCATCACCCAGCTTCAGATATGAAACACTGATCCGTTTCAAGTTCCACAACTTTTCTCCTGAGGAAATTTGGCAGTATTTGGTATTTCTCATTTCCATTCCATTCTCCACAAACAACGTAGGCTATTTTCCATGCTTTAAACTTTAGGGAAGTTAGGTAGGCCTCTCAACCTAGGTAGAAAACAGAAGCCTGGACCAACTGCAGCATGGCAGCAGCAATGACTTGGGAGCACAAATGCCCTTGATGGCTGCAGCCTGGTGCCTGCCCCCTTAGCCTTCAACCAAACAGGAACCATTTTCCTACTCATGCAATCTCGAGACTCAGCAGTGCATAGCCACTATGGACCAACTGGATCAGAAGCTTGACCTTGGCAGGGCCAAGGGGCCCTATATATAATGGGCTCCATCTACTCTTGGCACAAGGAGACCATTTCATTGTTTCGTTTGCTCTGGTTTAAAAACTTTCCTGACTTTTTAATTTTTATTTTTGTTGGTCATGGGGTGTGAGTTCTGGGCCTGCATGCTGTCCCTCAGCTCTTCAGCTCCAGGCTAGCTAGTGCTCTACCACTTGAGCCACAGAGCCACTTCTGGGTCTTTCTGCTTATGTGGTGCTGAGGAATCAAACCCAGGGCCTCATGCATGCAAGGCAAGCACTCTCCCACTGAGCGACCTCCCCAGCCCACTTTCCTGCCTTTGAATTAAACAACCCCGACCCCTAGACGGCATCAATATTTTAAGTATTCTAAATGTTTGTGCCTCCTTGCTTTCAGTTCAATCTTTGTTCATGTTTCTAATTGCCTTAGTATTCTGTTGTATGACTATTCTCATACACCTAATAAGCCCATTTCTTCTTGAGGGATATTAGCGTATTTTTTTTTCTTTCCAGGCTCTTCAACAGTATGAGATAGGCTTGCTGGTTTTCAAAGTGTTTGTACCAGTCCATGTTCCTGGTCCCCTGCTTCACTACTGTGGGACCACAAGCTCTACTGAGTCAGGATATGTTTCTCTAATTGCCGGTCAAGTCAAGGCCCTGTCTTGCTTGGATCCATATTTTCACATTCATTTCTAGGACTTAGGTTCTATTAGGTACTAGTAAATTATTTCTGGTAGTCACAGGATCAGACTGCTGAGGTGTGAGTGTGGAAACACCGTAAGGCCTGTTATAGTCTTAATTAGGAGTTATTTATTGCCCGTCTTTCTGGGAATTTTCAAGTATCTGTAGTAAGCAACTTTACACACAGGTATAGAACCCAACCCAACCCAATGAGTTCAATCTTTTTTTTTTTCCAAGGGCCTGGGCATTGTCCTTAAGTTCTTTTGCTCAGGGATAGCACTCTACTACTTTGAGCCACAGTAGGTAGAGTAAGAATAGGTAAGAGTCTCATGGGCTTTCCTGTCCAGGCTGGCTCTGAACCATGATTCTCAGATATCTGCCTCCTGAGGAGCTAGGATTACAGGTGTGAACCACTGGCACCTGGGCTTTCATTTTTAACTAGGTTTATTTTTGAACTGAAAAGTTTGCTGGAAACCTGAATTTAGAAACAAGTAAAAACATGAATATATTTAACATTTTAGAGGAAAAAACCAAATATATTGCTCTAGGCTTAAATTTGCCTTACATTTACAAATTAATTAAGCCTTCCCATGTATCATATAAAATAACTCGTAGTACTTTATTTTCCTTTTGGCCACAGATGGAGGTATGAATTAAACTGAGAAGAATACATGTTTATATTACCACAAATCTGACCACTGCACTTCTGACTTCAGTGGCCAGCCTTCAAAAATAAAAGACTTACATTCTGCATGATGAAATTATCCATATATATTGTTCATGTTGTTGTATCCAACTGATGCACATAGGAAGGCACTTGACATCAACTCCACAGTGGGGAGATTGTCACAAGGGAGACGAAGGGACAAACATGAAAAAAGGTAAATGTTTACTTTTCAAAATGCAGCACACATTTCCAGCCGAAACTGGTTTTCTACCCATGCTGGACAAATTGTACTCACATGATTAAAGGTTTCTAGAACCGCAGCTCTTCAACTCCAACGGAAGTATTTCAAGCATTGTACCTATTAAGGAATTTCTAAAATACTCTCAAGTCAAAAGCCCTATAGAGAATGAAATCTAGAAAGGGGTTTGGTAGGATGCATATGCATGTTTCCCAGAGTGCAGCCCACTCTTCTTTTGATAATGTTCATAGAACTGTCTCAAGGATTCAGAGATTCTTGGCGTCACAGTCCTCAAGGCCTGAGTGAAATGTTTCTTCATGATGCACTTGACTTTGAAGTCTTCTTCCAGAGCCAGAAGAGCTGCCTCTCTGCAGACAGCAATAATCTGAAAAAAAAAAAAAAAAAGTAAATTAGAAGAGGGAGAAGGACTTTGAAGAGCTGATACATTCCAAATCCTCATGCGCAGCCTAACTTCTATGCCATAACACATTTCTCTGTGGGAGTTATTGCACTCAAGGTTTGTTTTGAACTGATGCCTAATGCATGGTAGGCAAGCACATTTCCCACTGAGGAATATTCCCAGCCCTCACTCAAGTTTTCAGAAGGAGAAGTAGCCATATAAAGGGCTTTGTTCTTTCCTTCATTCCAACCCAACATCCCAAGGACTCAGTGCAGGAATAAAGGTATAGAAGAGGTAGTATTTGCTCTAGCTGAAGGTGGAACAGTATATGCCCCATACACTGTGACACAGGATGGTAAAGGTGGGAGTGCTGCGTATGCGTGCATGTGTGTGTGTGGGGGGTGGGGGGGAGGAGGGGGAAGGGGACGGAGGAGACCCAGGGCCTGCTCAGCAGCACGCCTGGTCCAAATGACAACAGCAACAACCACCAAACCAGTAACAGCCAGGTGGCGATGGCTTATGCTGCAATCCTTGTCATTTGGGAGAATGGGAAGATGTCAGTTCAAGGTTAGCCAGGGCAAAAACCTTTGAAAGATCCCATCTCAGTCAATAGAAAGCTGAGTGTAGTGCTGTATGCCTGTCATCTCAGCTATGTAAATAGGGATCAGCCTAAGCTTAACTGAGGCTCTATTAGAAAAATAGCTAAAGTAAAAAGCAGTTCAACTGGTAGAGCCTTCAGCTTGCTAGACAAGCAGTAAACCCTAAACTGAAACTCCAGTACAGCCACCAAAAAAAGGGGGGGGGGGCAGTAATATGTACTAATATGTATTAGAGGACTGAAATGGAAGCTTTATTTTTAAAAAAAGCATGCAAATGCTTCACTTGATAAAAGAAACCTGAGATCACTAATCGCCAAGGAATTTTTCCTTTCTCTAGTAACCTTTGGAAAGATAGTCTTTTCAGATAAAATGGCCAGCATATCTTTCCATTTGGGAACAATACTACAGAAAGTAAAAGAAAGGCCTTCAATTTAATCTTGGACTTTTCACATTACTATCTCTACAGACTGTGAAGGGCCCCCATGAAATGAGTTTGGGTTTATGTGTATGGGTTTGTCCAAGTGATTTACCTGACGCTTTTAGGACATATAGATTGACCTGTACATTTTCTACTAAGTACATGTGGAGCACAGAGCCCCCCACTCTGGCTACACAGGGAGCACAGGGTGCATCACCTGGAGGACACAGACAGTACAGGGGGAATCACCCTAGAGGAATCACATCCCAAAGCAGAAGCGTGAGAATATCTTACTACTGAGAGAATTCAGCTGAATTTTTTCCCATGAGGCCAGAGTAGAATATCACAGCATATATCAAAAGCAGAATTTGAATCACAGACTGTCTGGAATGTTAAATTAACCTGTTTAGAAAGAAAACCCTTGAAAACTTGAGCTCTTTAAATTTTTTAGCAAAAAGGATTTTGGAAACCTTCCATTAATCCCTTCACCATTTTTTCCTCCCCCCACCCTCATACGCTACAGACTAGATCATTTAAATGAGTTATTAGCCAACTAGCAGCATGATTGCTTTTGTCATTAGGCTGACGAAAATGTTTTGGCTGGTCCTGTAAAGTTGAATGCATATTCTTACCTAGTTTTGATTAAAAATTGGATATCTAGGCTTTAAGAAGATACATATGCCTTGTTGCAAAGGTGAAATTATGACCTGTTTGTGGCAAAGAGAAACTGAGACAAAAGACTAGCAGAAAGGCATAGAAGCTCCAGAGAGAGCTAGATTAGGACTGGGGTTCTGTTTCAGTGGCCAGGGAACTAATTTACTTGGTCCCAACATGTCCCAAACTCTATTCCTTCAGTAGTCATAATGGATCTTGTGTATCAGACATCTGACAAAGAAAAGTGTGCATAAATACATATACATATATATCATATATATGAAATTGAGATGATTCCTCAGGGGCTAAAAACTGCTAATCAAAGTATTTTATGAAGTTGTTATGAAAACATTATGTTAATGAATATAAATTAAGTTCAAGCGGGTTGGGGGGAAGAGTGAGCAGTGAGACAAAGGGGGAGAGGAGGGTGCACTTTCATGCTATGCTTGCCCTCTGTTAAAGCAGTGCCCTCATTACAATATAGCAATAACTGGATTACGGGAGACAACTGCACTTGTGAGCTGTGGGGAGACACAACTCCCTGGGATGAGAAAGCCCTTGACCACTGGACCTTGGGAAATCTAATTACTTCACTTTTAAATGCAAAAGGGCAAAAGAGGCAATTGTGCAGAATTTGAATGCCATGAAGAATAAGAACAATGTCTTACTTCACTGTGGGGGAAAAACAATAAAAGAAAACTCTTATATATAGCCTATTATCCCCCCCACCCCCACCCCCCATCTACCAGACAAGAAGAGTTTCAACAGGTGGCTCACACATAGCAAAAGGCAGACTGAGAAAATTAAAACCAACATGGTTTTAATTTTGAGGCAACAAAAGTTCTGGGGGAAAAAAAAAGAAGACAGGATTAAAGAATGATAGTCAAAGCAAAGACTGCTGACCAAAAAACTAATCAACGGGAGCAAAAGCTGAAAATGTCCAGCAGGACTCTGGGTGCTGGTCATCAGATGTAGACATGTGTAGTTCTTCTCTTGTTCTCTTCCGTCTCACAACAGCGCTTGTTTCTTTTCTGATGCAAGGAGACTGAGAACCTGGGCGATTTCTTCGTTTACCTTTAAGCACAGATGTTTCTAGACAATGGCTGGGTGGCAGCCACACTTGCTTGGTACTGGAACATCCATGATAAGAATAATGAGCCAGGTGTTGGTGGCTCATGCAGTTGAGAGCTGAAGAATGCAGTTCAAAGCCAGTGTGAGCAGTAAAGTCCACGTTCCTTGTCTCCAATGAACCACCAAAGCCAAAAGTAAAGCTGTGGTTCAAGTAATAGAGCACTAACGTTGAGTAAAAACAGCCCAGGGACAGTGGTCCTTGAGTTCAAGGCGTGGGATTGGCATGGGAAGGCAACACAATTACCCAACAAACTCAACTGCTTGATTCTCTGCCACCCTCCTGCCTTCCTATCAGGGACAGGGACCAACACTCCAATCTGCGGAAGTAAAATAAATGAATTCAGCAATTTAAAATGTGCTAGAGAGTTGGAGAAGTAGCTCCTGACAGCTGGAGTCACATAACTGGCCTAACTAGCAGGATACAGGGCTGTGTTCTTAAGAAAACGTCGACTGCATATTAATTTCTGAATGCCAACAATCTCTAGCACGAGTGGAGAGCGGCCTGGCTCAGGCTGGCTGGCGGAGCAGGCACCCTGGAGCTTGCAGAGCAGCCTCTTGTCTCTTTGAGGCCAGCTGCACGCAAGCGGAATCCACACTTTGGCAGAGACTGTCTGTGGGCTGCCCCTGCTGCCTGGGAGGAAGAAAGCTCGCCTTTCCAGCCAGGCCTAATCTCAGCTTCTTTGTATTTCAAGGGTACTAAATAGCTTTAAAGAATCCACCAAAAGAAATGGGCTGCAGTGCTTTTTAAAATAAAATCTTAGGTATTTTCAAGAAAGTGGTTTTGTGAAAAGCATCTTTCTGTCTGGAACACCTGTGACCTGTTGAGCTTAATTGGGCTGCAGCTGGCGCTGATTGTGGGCGAGCCGCTGGAGGGCCCAGGCGCGGACATTGTGTCGGCCTGGCTCACCCGCCCCCTCGCTTTTCTTTTCAGCTTTCACAGGCCTGTGACCTTCTCCCCCAGTGTGTCTGAGGGATTAGGGATCCAGTAGAGAGTGGCCTCCTGCTGTTCTCAAACAGTATACACTGGAGGTGCTTCAAGGAGAAGGCTACCTGGGACGTGGAGCGCCCGTTGGGGTGCTGAGGGAGGGTGCATTCTCCTGGCCCACTGAGAGGCACTGCAAGATGGGGCTGAAGGAGCGCAGCGGGCTCCCAGCTGACGAGCAGCAGACGGAATCAGACAACTGTCACAGGCACACACAACACAGGGTGGGTGCAGTGAACTTTCAAGGAAGCAGCTCACAGAGCAATGCGGGGTGGCTGGGAAGGGATGTGGGGGTGGGGGCAGAGAACAGCCATTAAAAGATCACTTCACTGAAAGACTTACAAGGGGATGAGGTGAGGATTTTGCAGCACAGATTTCAGATATAAGGAACTGCCTAATTGTGGCTCTTGGGCTCAGTTTCCTCCTTCTCTAAAAAAACTTCACCATAATTAACCATACTGTTAATTAAGTCATATGATCTAGAATGGCCTACACAGGGTTGAGCCAAATGAAAAATGTCTGTAAAGGCACATTCAAACCTACTGAAAGAGAAGGGAGGAAAACAGAATGGGTTGCTTAATTCTGTTGATTATTTTGATGAGATCTGAGGCTCACAATCAGAAGCCAGCTCAGGCAGGAAAGTCCAGCAAACCACTCACTAAAAGCCAGAAGTGAGCTGCGGCTCAAGTGGCAGAGCTAACACTTTGAGCAAATAAAAGCTAAGATTCTGAGTTCAAGCCTTAGTATTGGCCTGCAGACACACGCCTGGTTACTGTCACAAAGGAGCTTCTAGTTGTTTTTGTTTTTTAAAAATGTGCTTACGAATCCATTATTTTGTAGAGCTTTTGGGCTGGACAGGTCTGGAGCATGTACATGTTCCAGTCTATCATTATGACTTATGTTCACTTGCAGGATTTCAAGGACCACTGGACCAAAACAAAGTTTTCAATTTTAAAAAGAATCCAGCAGCTGGTGTGGAAGTGGAGAAAACAGGAGCCACTGTGGGTAGGGCAAGGCAGGGACAGAAAATAGGTGTGATGGGCCCCTTTTTACTCAGGACTTGAGTGAACAAGATAGAAGGCCCAAGGGAATACAGCAGTGAAGAATCAAATCCCATGTGCACTGACCAGGTGGTACATAGCCCCGGCTCCACTACGCCACTTCCAGGGTTCAGTGGAAATGTCTTCTGGGAGGCATCCCT